ACCCCACACCCCGTGGCCCAAGGGGACCTCCGGTGGCGCTCGCTCAGCGAGCTCTCTCGACTCTGGGTGGGTTAATTAAAACGAAGCCCGCAAGAAGGCGGGCCGCGCTTTGCGCTGCGGCGACCGGAACACCCGGGCTGCACCGCGTCGCCTCGTGACGGCCGCCCGCGAGCACAACGTGAGCCCGCCCGGTGCACGGGTCACGTGGTCACTGGGGCAATGCCTCTCTGGTAAGGATTTTACAGTCCGACCTTTCTCCGAAAGAAATAAATAAAAACGTTTCCAAGGAAATTCGGAAAAAATTGAACGATTTTCATGAAAAAAAGGTAAAAATTAAACTTTCCAGGACAAAATTTGACACCAACAAAACAAAATTCCTGAACAATTTCCGGGAAGTATTTTTTTTTTCTTCAGAAAATTGAAATTCTTTCGATGTGGCCTACCTGACCGTGATGATGTCGCCGATGCCCAGCTGGATCCCGTTCATCTGCGCGATGAAGATGGCGGCCACGGCCTCGTAGAGCGCCGTGCCGTCCATGTTGACGGTGGCGCCCACGGCCACCACGAAGCGCGTCACCCGCTTGTCGATGCCGTTGTTCTCCTCCAGGCACTGGAACGTGACGGGTAGCGTGGCCGCGCTGCGGGTGTCGCCAGGGGTCGCGTCAGGAACAGGGCGTAACGAAGTAAAATACAAGGGGAAGTCCCAAGCCGAGGCCGAGGCCGGGCTCGGGACGGGACTTTACCTGGACGCGGTGCCCACGGCCGTCACCCAGGCCTGGAGCATACCGCGGAAGAAGGTGGCCGGGTTCTTTCTAGTGACGGTCCAGTAGATGATGGGCAGCGTCACGAGTCCGTGCACCAGCAGGCCCAGAACCACCGTCACCATGTAGAGGCCGAGCTGCTGCGCCGTCGAGGCCATGTTGGCGATGGACATGATCTTGCCCGCGATCAGACACATGATTCCGAACGGGGAGTACCTGCAGAGTGGAAGGTGTTTATTAAACGAGGAAGAAGAAGCATATTGTTTTGTCAGACACTAGGGGACGCGACCAACAACTCACCACATCATGATGCCGACGAGCTTCATGATGATGTCGTTGAGCACCACGAAGAACTCGACCATGATGCGACCCCGCCGGCCCATCTGGCCCGCCAGCAGGCCGAACGCCAAGCAGAACACGATCATGCCTGTCGCATACCAGCAAGGATTAGCTTTTGACCTTCTCATTCATTTGTTTTCAAAGAAGTATGTATACAATACAACAACTGTCGAAACTAGGTAGTGGAAGTAGTTTTCGGATGTTGTGTGCTCCGTCCTGCTCTCACCCATGACGTTGGTCCCGTCCTTGTACACGAGCGTCCTCTCCACAACGGCCGGCTTGTTGTACTTGGCGGGAACCTGGCGCGGACAAACGCACACGCGTTCACTGACCGGACCGGACACATGCCGACGGCCCTAATTCCACGTTCGTTCGTCCTCTTTTTAATAATTATTTTTTATTTCTTTCGTTTTAGCCCCTTTGGGCGATACAGGGAAACAAACGCCAACACTCCTCTCCGGGGAAATGAAAACAAAATAATTGTGATTGAGGTGAAGGGCGGTAGACATACATGGAAGCTGCCCGCGCTCCTGTTCGCTCCGACTCTTGTCATGCATTGGCGAAGAGGGAAAAGCAGGGGAGAGGGGGGAGGGAAGTGGGGGCTGGCGCGGTGTTGGTGGTGGTGGTGGTGGTGGTGCTCTCCGCTTGCAAGCAGGAAGTACAATTTCCCTCTGGGGAACTAGCACGGCCACGCGTGAGAGAGAGAGAGAGAGAGAGAGAGAGAGAGAGAGAGAGAGAAAGGGAGAGAGATGGTAGTGAGGATAGGGAAGGAGGAGGGGGTCAGAGCGGTAGGGGTACGCGAGTTAGTTAAATGCTTGTGACGCCATAATAAAAGCCAGAAAGTTTTGGCAGGCTCGAACTCGAGTAGGAGGTGGAGAGAAATTGCAGAGGAGAGCGGACGAGACTGCGCGGGGAAAGGTTGATGGTACACACACGGCACTCACCTCTTTAACCGATGTTTGTACTTGCTGGAAGCATGCCTGGACCAAGTTCTCGGGAAACATGTTTCTGGATGGAAACAGAAAACAGGGTGTCATTTAGCTACGCATAACGTGGTTGTGAGCAGAGGTCGGATCGGGTGGGATCCAAGATCCAATAAGTAGTGAACCTTACCGGACGATGTCGAGGATGGCGTCGAGGGTCGACACCCGGGTCTCGCCCGCCGGCCCGGCGCCCCGCACGATGGCCTTCGCCGAGGGGTCGCCCGGGTGGATGACGAGCACCACGATGATGCCCACGATGGCCGCCAGCACGGTGGTGACCATGTAGTAGGCCAGCGCGCGGAAGCCCATGCGGCCGGAGCGCCGCGCGTCCAGCTGAGCCATGCCTGCGCGGGAGGGGTCACTTTAATTATGGGGATACACTGTAAATTGCTTACGAACAGTAGGTTCGTAATGCAAACCAAAACGTTCGTAGCTTACGAAGGATTTTGAAGCGTTGTATTACGAACTAATTGTTCGTAAGCGTACGAACAAATAGTTCGTAATACTAACCGACTGTTCGTAAGACCCTGTCTAGCCTTACAAACAAACGCTTTGCAATAGGAACAATTTATTTGCAATACAAAGAAAGAAGATTGTTTGTAACGTTGCAGAGTATTTAGTTCGTAAGCTTTTTACAGTGTACGTCTTCGCAAGGACTTTAGATCAAATGCAAGATTACACGTAGAAGCATTGGGGAGGGCACCTGGTAACTTTATAGCATGATATGCAGAAAGGTAGGCCACAATAAAGCTGTCTTTAAAACCCTGGGCCTCAACGTGTTAAAAGGTTTTGTGAATTAGTGCAGTTAGAAAGGCATTAAAACTTCCAAGCCAATGCACTAATTTGGGGCACATTCAGCGCTCTATAGTGTCTTTCGAAAGGCATTCAACCGCATTGAACTTAAAATTTCTTTATCTACCTTGGAAAGGACGAATTAGCACCTTTCTATTCTTTTTCAGTGCCCCTCTGTAAAACGACGATATTTTTGCGCGCGCAGTCTCCAAAATTATTCCCATCCATTATGGCGAACTTGTCGTGGGTGTCACCCGACACACACGCGGAGCGGGCCCCGCAACTTTGGATGTCGCGCTCCAATTTGCCGCCAACTGTCTTACGCAGCATATCAGCCCGCCCCACGCAGAGCGCAGCCCCGTCGACGCGACCCACAGTACGCATTAAACAAAAACTATTTTCTTAATTCAAGCACAAGGACTTTATACATTTTTGAGAACTATTACATATTTTAATTTTAACAAGTGACACTCACTCTGTGGTTCACGTCTTAATGCTGGCATTTAAACCCAGGGGTTTACCTACTTCCACCGCACTCAAATTCTTAAATTAGAACATTTACTTGTCCGGAGCGTTGCAAAGGGCTGATAAAGTTTAAACTGAGGACACTTTGCTTGAATATTTAAAGCGATGTTCTTTTATTGTGTTTGTTGGGTCATTGTCATTGTAAACAAAACATATGTGCTTCCTCGCGGGCGGGGCTTCCGCAGTCGTAGAGAGAGAGGGAGAGAGAGGGGGACAGCGGTGGGTCGGGAAAGTGAGAGATAGAAAGAGACCCGAGATGCGCGCAAGCAGTCGTCGCGCAGTGAGCAGCGCGCGAGCAGCCGTATGGAGAAGCGCCCGAGGACGGGTGGGTAGGCAACCCGCTCGCGCACCTGTGGCACGGGCTTGCCTACCGGACCCCCGCCCCACCCGGCCCCGCCCCGCCCCGCCCGGGATGGTGCCACCTGTCTCTTCGTTACAGTCTGGGCGCCCCCCGGACTGGAGGGGGGGTAGAGGGAATCACTCAGGTGATGGTCCGCGGGGTGTGTCGCGGAGGCGCCTTCCTTGTTGCGCAGGGCGGCGTCATCCATCAGACCAGCGGAGCGGAAGCAAAGGCGGGGACGGGCACCAGGAACAGGAGGAGGAGGAGGAGGAGGCGGGGCGAGAGAGGAAAAGGGAGCCCGTCGCGTCGCGGCGCGTTCGACAACAAGCGGCAAGTGCTGAGCACGCCCGCGGGGAGCGCCGGGGCGTGAAAGGGGTTGTTCCGAAGGGGTACTTCACTCAGAAAAATGATACAAAAATCAATAACATTTAAATTAAGATAAAAAAATGAAGAAAAAAAACAACAAAAAAACACCTTGGCGTGCCTTTGAATTAAGAGTAAGGTACCCATTGGGTTGCTCTGCGGCACCCAGACTGGCGCTCGAGCTCGCCGCGTGCTGCCCGGGATCACCATACCCTACTCACCGGCGATGAGCGAGGAGATGATGAGGGGCAGGATCATCATCTTGAGCAGGCGCATCAGCACCTCCCCGGGGAAGGACATGAGCGCGATGCTCTCCGGCGTCGGCCCGGCCAGGCGGCCGATGAAGCCCAGGACGATGCCGACCAGCACGCCGGCGATGGTGAAGCCGAGGAGGATGTTGTCCCGAAACCATTGTAGCGTCTGGGCCGACAAGCAAGCAGCTGTTTTTCAGAAGGAGTATCATGCTTGGCACCTGCCACCCCCCCCCCCTTTCCTTCTTCTCTGGACCTACCTGATACCCTACCCCCTCCGTGCGCGACACCCTTATCATCCTAATTAATCAGCTATTCCCTTACTTTCCCCCTCCTCCCGGCGTCTTTGGCCAAACTCTTGTATCACCCCCCCCCCTCTCCTCTTTCCCTGCTCCCCTTCTTGTTCCCACGTGCGAAGCCGCTACTTCAAGAAGATACCCTCCTTATCACATATTTTATTTCCCCGTAATGTTTTTTTGGGGGGAGGGTAGAGTGACATGAGGTGTACTGTATAGGAGCGAGGGGGGCCTCGGCAGATTAAGTGACCCTGCAACTAGTTCGGCGCGCCGCTGCGGCTGCTGCTCCGCTGTGCCTATTTTATCTCGTTTGACCTAAACGACTCTTGAACTTGCGGCCGCCACGGGCCAGCGCAAGAGCGAGGGGGCGGAGGGAGAGAGAGGGCCGTGTAGCTACACGTACCAGTGACAGGTATTTGATGGCTTCTTCTTTCTTCCCTTTCTTCTTCTTCTCGTTTTCATCAGCGACCGCCCCCGCCCTGCAAACAAGCAGCAGCGCCTTGCTCGTTGAGTGAGGAAAAGACACGAGGGGTTAGGGGGGGGGGGTCTGCTTCTGTGTAAACTCCAGGGGGAAACTAGCAAAAAAAGAAAAGTACAAAGAAAGAGGGAGGCGTCCGCGATGTTTCAGAAAATGTCTCTTGAAAAGAGCAAACCAGGTGCAACCCTTTTTTCCTGAAAAACGATGTAAGTTTAAAATGTCTCGTTTTCGCGCCTGTCGAACCGCAGGAGGCATGGCGAGGGCGAGGGCAAATAATCGGCTTGTTCCATCCATGTCCACGCCACGCCACGCCACCCTCACGCGGCGCGCGTCAATCTCAATGAGCACTCCGCAGGAAGCGGCACTTTGCAACGGGAATCCCTTCACTCGAAAAAAAAAGATAACAAATTGCCGCGGTACATTGCAGTACATAGCAGAACACAGCATAAAGTGGACTGAACTTTACGATCTTAGCCATATTTGCTATTTATAAAAGAACTAAAAATAACATTACTGCACTGTAAACTCTTTCGTCTTTTGCAATTTGCCAACATTATGGAATGGTCTTGATTCTATTGAGATTTGGAAACAATTTGCTAGATTTTCGGATTTTGAATTACGCTTTCGTTTGCTAGTCTTCTCAGGTGGGTTTTGCGCGGTGATTCGGACGTACCTGGGATTGGATGCACTTGTAAAAATTTGCCGACACCGAAAAATATAAAATTGTAAACGGTTAAAAATAAAAAAACATAACAAAAAAACAACAGAGAAAACAAAAAACTAGCAAGTTTCCAGCGAGCCAGTTTGTGCTACCGTACGTAACTTTTAAGAGGAATCACACCTCGCACATTTTACAATCGTAAGATCAGGACCATGGCCACACTCTTAAATGTGCAACTTTTTGCACCACTTTGGGATCATCACTTTGAATACTTCCTCGTGGGTCACTCACACGTCGTCCTGGGCGGCGGCCGCTGCGTCCTGCTCATGGTGAGCCGGGCCGTGAGCCTTGCCCAGGGAGCTCATGGCGTGAGGCCTGGCCTTGCCGGAGGCCTGCCGATGGCCTGCTAGCCTCGGGCCAGGGCGGCCTGCACATCAGCGCGCTCCAGCCTGCTCCAGCGCCGCTCCAGAGCGCTCCTAGAGCTACACTAAATGTGTGCACATGTGTGCGCTGCACATGTCCGTCCGTCCGTCGGACCCGTCCGTCAGTCGGTCCGTCGGCGGGCGGGCGGGCCGGCCCCGCGCCGTGCGAGAGCAGACCGCGGCGTGTGGTGGGAGGTGTCGGCTCTCACTCACACTCACACCGCATGCCACCCGACCGCATGGCTCGCAAGGTAAAGGGGATCCTCCAATCAAGTGATCCCGCCCCGCTGCGCCCCGCCGCGCCCTGCCCCGCCCTGCCCCGCCCTGCCCCGCCTTGCCCTGCCCCGCCTCGCTCCGCCCCACCTCGGTTCGGCCCGGCGGGTGGACCGGGGGGACCCCCCAGCGGCCCGCCGCCGCACCCGCCCCTCCGTGTGCTTTGCGGTGCAGGAAACCACGGTTAAGTCGCGCATTGCCCCCACCCCGCCCCGCCCCACCCCACCTGACCTGCCGCGCCCTGCCGCGCCCCGCCCGCGGCCCGCGGCCCAGCCCCGCACTGGCTCTGCCACTGGCAGGAAATGGGCACTCTCTAGGCCCCCCGCCAGGCCGTGCCCCATGTCCCTTGGCCCCATGCTGTCTGATCCAATACCCCACGTTATTGTATGAACGCAAAAAAAATGAGTGTACCACAGGTACTGCAGGTACTACCTCCTACTTATAGCGGTCGCGACGACACCGAGCTCGCCATCCTGGCCCTTGCCCTACATCAATCGTCCGCGAAGCTCATGAATTTTGGAAACACCCTGGGATTAATCGCGCTTACGCATCATGGTAAATAAAACATGCATGTTGGGGTGGCGTTTTTGCGCCAAATTCATTTTACTGAATCAAATAAATTACGAAATTACAGACAAGCATCTCAACTCACCGCACACATATGAAAAATAACTCGCACTCTCACACCTACTTACGGCACTCCGCATGTAAGTACTAATGGCAAAAATAACCGCTGAAAGTATAACAGAACAGACTAGATTTTCATCGAAACGTGGCATGACGAGCAAAATAGGGTCCTAATTAATAATAATCACGAAATGATAATGTAAGGGCAGTTAAGGAGATTCTATATGGACTGCACGTTGCGTGATTCACTGCAACTGTTAATGTTTTAGTCATTTCAGAACTATATATTTCAAAACCCATAAGTTTTTATTCTACTTCCTCAAAATAATTTTGCGAGATATCTCTGTCAACACACGCATTGAGTTTCACGAGGATATACAAACACTATCAAACGTCACTAGGGCAATGAAATGGGGTATAATTTTAAACCACTTAGCGACAGTCTTTCATTTATCGGGCTCACAGCTAACTGCCGCGTATGAGTCACCACAGCTCCCAGTAAAACAGAAAAATATATGAAATAGCTTTGGGATCGATTCATTTATTCTATGCAATGTATGTGTTATGACTAGATAATTATTTGTACGTCATTTTCTTTAAATTTAATACGTAACGAGAAATCGTGGATGGCATTTCTACATTCATAAGAACCGTATAGCTGAGCCAGCCAAGCTACAAAACGTCCTATGAGTATCAGAGAGAACATATGTCAGCCAGCCAACAAAAACTCTCAAGTAGAACACGAATGAGAATCAATAATTATACATAAATAATAATATTCAATTAATTAATCTTACTTTACAATAAGAAAGGTAACATATCTTTCACTGTGGGTAGTGCGGACCGCGAAAACTCAAGCGGAAAGAAACATAGTATCTCGCCTCTGCAGAGACTCGAACCCAGTCCCGGACTCGTGCAGCGGCGGCTCTCGCGGTCCGCATTGTCCCGGGGTGTCCGCCTCCAGGTAACGCTAAACGCCAATCTCTACGCGTCTGTCGCGCTGCTGCCCCGCGGCCAGGAACGCGGCAGACACGTGGCCTCCAGCACGTCCCCGTCGTTGCGCCCTTTACGCCTGCCTCCGTCTCCTCCGCATCGTGTTGAAGTCGCCGAAGGGGCTGTTAAGGGTGTCGCCGCTGATGTCCGTGGACGCGTTCCTCCTCTTCTTGGTGTTGCCCTCGTCCTGGTGCGCGGCCGGCTTCTCGCCCTGCACGTGGTAGCCGGGCACCAGGATCTCGGCGATGTTGGAGCGCTTCACCTTGACGGTGCGCACGGGCGGCAGGTCGGGCCGGCTATCGTTGTCGCGTTTCATGGTGTTGAAGTCCCCGAAGCCCGAGCTGAACATGTCGCTGTGCGGGCCATCCGAGCTGCGGCCGCCGCCGGCGCCTCCGCCCTGCTGGGGTGCCAGGTTGCGCTTCATCGGGCTGAAGTCCCCGAAGCCACTGTTGAAAGCGTCGTCGTGGAACTTGGCGCCGTCGGTGTTGCGCTTCATCGTGCCGAAGTCGCCGAAGTCGCCGCCGAAGGTGTCACCGTGCAGCCCCGCTGCTCCACCCGACTTCCGCTTCATGGTGCCGAAGTTGCCGAAGCCGTCCGTGAAGGTGTCTCCGTGAAAGGACTCTCCGGGACTTCGCTTCCGCTTCATAGTGTTGAAGTCACCGAAGCCGCCGGTGAAGGTGTCACCGTGGAAACCCATAGCGCCACCTGGTGCTCTCTTCATTGTATTGAAGTCACCAAATCCATTATTGAAAGTGTCACCGTGAAAGCCCATAGCGCCACCCGGCGCTCTCTTCATCGTGTTGAAGTCACCGAAACCATTATTGAAAGTGTCACCATGGAAACCCATAGCACCGCCTGGGGCACGCTTCATCGTGTTAAAGTCGCCGAAACCGTTCGTGAACGTGTCACCATGGAAACCCATGGCACCCCCAGGTGCTCTTTTCATGGTGTTGAAGTCACCGAAGCCATTGTTGAAAGTGTCACCATGAAAACCCATAGCACCACCTGGCGCACGCTTCATCGTGTTAAAGTCGCCGAAACCGTTCGTGAACGTGTCACCATGGAAACCCATGGCGCCCCCAGGTGCTCTTTTCATGGTGTTAAAATCACCAAACCCATTATTGAAAGTGTCGCCGTGAAAGCCCATTGCGCCACCTGGGGCTCTCTTCATCGTGTTGAAGTCTCCGAATCCATTGGTGAATGTATCTCCGTGGAAGCCTAGAGATCCCCCCGGTTTCCGTTTCCTCATGGTCACGAAGTCACCAAACCCCCCGCTAAAGGTGTCGCCCTCAAGCCCAGCCGCAGCAGGAGAGCGCTTCATCGTGCTGAAGTCGCCGAAACCGTTCGAGAAGGTATCGGAGTGCAGCCCCGACCCACCGCCCCTCTTCTTCATTGTGTTGAAGTTGCCGAAGCTGTTGTCAAAGAGGTCGCCGTGGAAACCCTCGGTCCGCCTCTTCATGGAACTGAAGTCCTGATTCGATTCATAAGGGTAGCCCCGTGCGGAGAGCAACCTCCTCTTCATGGTGTTGAAGTTGCCGAAGCCTCCGTCGAAAGTGTCCCCGTGGAATCCGGCTTTGCCGCCAGGCTGTCGCTTTACCGTCTTGAACCCTCCGAAGTCGCCGCCGAGTCCGGTGGACTCGGGCACGCGCTTCATGGTGTTGAAGTCGCCGAAGCCGTTATTGAAGGTGTCGCCATGAAAGCCCATGGCGCCGCCGGGCGCTCGCTTCATGGTGTTGAAGTCGCCGAAGCCCCCGCTGAAAGTGTCGCCGTGCAGCCCGGCCGCGCCGACCGGTCCGCGCTTCATGGTGCCGAAGTCCCCGAAGCCGTTGGAGAAGGTGTCGCCGTGCAGGCCGAGCGCCCCGCTCGCCCGCTTCTCCGTCGAGTTGGCAGGCTTCGAGTCCACACTGCGTTTCCTCCGCTTTGACCCAAGCAGCGCAACCAGGTCGTGCCTGGAAAAGAGAGAAAACAGACATGTCAACTGCTGTCGCTGTGTTTGCACCAGCCCCTCGCCTTTTCGTTTCGGAGGTGTGATTCACAGACGACAAGCTTACTTTGTGGCGCCTCTCTTGACAGTGGAGAACTCCCCAAAGTCCTGGTTGAAGACGTCGTCGTGGAAGCCGCGGGCGGACAGGCCCCCCTGCGCCTGCCGCTTGTGGTGGTGCGAGGCGTGAGCCTCGCCGGCGGCGCGCTTCCACATGGAGTAGTACCCAGGCAGGATGTCGAACACGGACTCGTGGAAACCGCGCGCATCGATTTCTGCTTTACCAAAAATGTAAGAAAGGGAGAAGAAAGGACCAAGTCAAAATTTAAAAGATATCACCCAGAAAAAATGGAAAGCTGCATTTGCAACCACCATGTTACTACTCTGAAAGCTATATAAAGTGATGGTTAAGGCAAACATTAAGATGTCTGTGGGAACTAAAATGTGGTTCTGATAACTGGATAATTGCTGTTTTTTGTTGACTATAAGTACTATGGTTGTCCCTTGGGGGCTCTCAACTTCTCTGGGTGTAAACACGCAGCAGTTTACAGAGAGAAGCAGTGTTATCTGCATCACGTTCAGGTCACGAAGCGTGCTGGTAGAGCTGATGATAGCGCAGCGGAGCACGCAGGGAAATCAATAAATCGGTCGAATCAAAAAAAAAAGAAAGAAATTGTTGCCTGGCCGGCGGCGCCCGGCAGCGGCTGCTGCTCAGCGGCCGGCTGATGAAGTGGTATGGCTGTCGGGGACACGAGATACGTCCTCCCTCTCCCCCACCCCTGTTTCTCGCTCGCTCTCCTATATTTTTTTTTCGTGCACTACCCTTGAGTGACGCCAGGCGTAAGGACCACGATAGGACCACGGGAGGTGGAAGATTGGCTACGGTGTGGGGGTGCGGGTACGTAAGGGAGGGTGGAGAGAAAGAGAAAGAGAGAGAGAGAGAGAGAGAGAGAGAGAGAGAGAGAAGGAGAGAGAGAGAGGGGGGGGAATATGGGGGGGAGAGGGGGGGGGGGTTCCTGCTACGTATGAACGCACTCGACCGTAGATTTACTTTTCAGTGTCCTTTATTGCTTTTCCTTTTTTGGCGGCACCCCTCTTCCTTTGCCGTCGTCGTCAGTCCTTATCGCTACGGCGTCCATGCGTCAAGAAGAAAGTGATAAAGAAGTCCTTTTTTACACGCATATGTCTGATGCTCTTGATCGAGCAAAGTGCGCGTGTCCTTCGCGTTCTCGTCCTCGCGCTGCAGCCAACACACGTACCTGGGAACTGCTCGTTGGGGACGGAGCGCGTGGACCAGGCGGAGCGCGGCCGGCTGGGGTAGGGGCCCCGGTCGGGGTGCACGACGGGCAGCACGCGCTCGCGCTCGCCGCGGTCGCGCTGCTGCTGCTCGCCGCTGCCGCTCGCCGCCTCCTCCCTCTCCTCATGCTGCGACATAAAAGAAAACGATCCCTCTAACTTTTGGTCCCAACAGGGTTCCCCGCTTTACCTTTCCGGGGGGCGGCGCGCGAGGTCACCTAATTGTGTGACCTCTCTCTTTTATTGCGGCGACCGCGAGACACTGTGGGAGTGAGTTAGTCACACAGAAAACAGGACATTAACAGTTGGAAAACAAAGGTGCTAAGTCTTGCCTTTCCCCGGGCATTAACCAAATTCTGAGTTTAGTGCCCCTGTAAGGCACTAAAGGGAAGGGACCCTAAGGAATTAGAGCATTTGTAAAGGTATGGTAGGACGTAGCACCTTTGGTGTTCCAGTCCAGAGACCACTGCGGTCCTATGGAAAATCGGCGTTTTCTTTTTCGGAATCATGACCGATTTCTCATACAAGGCCCTTTTCTTTTCAAGCTGTGCACAAGGGATCAGCCAGAAAGCACGTCCGTCATTTGCCGTTCCGAACCTGCCAAGTCCAGCGTGCAAGCTCTCAGAGCGCCTGGCAGGTAGGCAACATCCAGCCTGCAGTGCATGCGTGTGCTGCAGGGTGGCCTACACTGAGTCTGGCAGGCGCCGACGACGCCAAGCTATCGTTATATGCCGAATGAATCTGAGAAAAAACGGACAGGTTTTCTAGACAATCCCAAAAGATGGAGAAAAATTAGTTGGCTAGTGGGGGTGCAACTTTTGGTGTGTCGGTCACGACGACAACGACGTCAAATATTCATCGGAATGGACCCTCCGGAGCGGGTCGAGTCGGGGCCACTTGGGGGCTCCGCGGACGTGACCGTGCGGGCCGCACCGCACCCCGCACCCCGCGGGTACCCCGGAGATGCCCCGCGTACGGCACGGTACCGCAGAATGGAACCGTGGTCAAATCTCGTCTGAATCCGATAGCAGAGGGCACTGCTGCGCGCCGCTGCGGTTGTTCAAATGCATGAATCGGCCGTTAAGAATACGAGAACACTGGAAGAACACCACCTGGAAAAGTGATAGCGCTATATTCTGCGTCGCAATCTGTTTCTAGGAGCCGCATCTCTATGATCTTCCACCGTACTCTTTTCTGTTTCTTAGAAACGAGACAAAACAAAAAATCCTGCGACTGCTGCTGTACGCGATCAGAGTGCGCCGGCCGCGCCCCTTTCAAAGAGATATCACATTCCGTGCAACCCCCCTCTCCGCAAAGCATTGGGCCAAATGGCACCAAAAGCATCCCGTTACACAGAGGGCCCCGGCTACAAATAACACACAGCCAAGAGATGGTCGAATATTCTTGCCACTTTTGAGCGCATATTGCGTTCAACGGACCTTCAACGGTATAGCGGTCCTCTTCAGGCTCACTACCAACTCACCTGCTGCTGTAGGTCGCGCAGGTCCTGGAACACCAGCTCCTCGAGGGCGGGGATCTCGTTGTCCTCCAGGCTCACATGCTCGGCCGCGGCCCCGCCGGCCCCGCTCAGGACGAGCAGCAGCATCGCCGACAGCAGCCTGCGCGGTGGCATCTGCAGGGGCAAAGGGGCAAGGCGGGGTGGTTAAGTTAGGTACGCACGTCTCACTTACTCTCTCGCACACACTTTACCCCCCACGCGCCTGTGTATCCCTC